CTCCCCAAAACCCCAAAACCCCGTTAATCTCAGATAGAGATAAAATTGAATTATTTTTATAATTATATCGTTGGTTATATAAAATCGATAAATTTTAACTGAGATCAATTTAATACTACATATAGTGTAATGACTGAAAGTTTAGTTATCTTCATTATGCCTTTTTCAAGAATATTTCAATTGATTAAACTACTTCTTCATATTCTTGAATTTTCAAATAGTACCTTTTAAAAAAGAGATCTTGCCGCACCAGTTATAGCTTACTGATTCAAAAGATGATCTTATTCTTTCAATTTTGTAGAGTTATCTTTTGAAATCTCTAATTTATTTGCCATTTTTTCTTAGACCTCAATCGAAATGTCTAAGTTTTTATGTATTTCTGATTATAAGTCTAACTTTTATTTTAATTCCTAATTTAAGTATGCATCCTTAATACCGAATCTTTTTCCCTTAACGATCGAGAAAATTTACTTATATGATGGTTGCTGAAAGAGGGCATTGTTGTGATAAATAATTTACTTATTGGAATTATTAATATGCTACTTTGCTTAGAGCTTTATACAATTATTATAATTATTATCATGTACTAACCCCTTGCTTTCAATTTTATCCAATTCTTCCAGATTCCCGTTTATTTTCGAATTGCTTTCTTTAGCATTATTACTTTCATCATGATCATAAATCTTAAGGCACTCATTTTGATTTTCCCCCTGGCTCTAATTCTTTCTTTTAGCTCTTATCATCCTAATTTATTTTTTTAAACGTTTAATCTCTGCTGACATTATTTTGAAGTAGTAACCTCTCTAACTATTATTAACTGAGATGAAATCGTTCTTTTCGATGATTAAACATGCTATTTAATGCGGTGAGAAATTATTACCTGACTTATTAAATGAGCTGATGTTTTACTTAATTTAAAAGAGTTGCTCACTATTCATTATTTACTGCCTTAGAGTAGGTTTATATTAATTATTATTTTCAATTTAAGTCTCTGTATATTGAAATCCAAGCTTCGGCAAGGTGTCCCCGTTATAGTTGATATCTTGAGGATATTGTTCACTTTGGATTGAGTTAAATGTGGGGATTCGATTGAACATAACTGTGACTCCAGATTGATTTATATTTTGAGGATACTATTGTATATAATTAGGAGTGAAAACTTTAGCTTATGAAGGCTTCGAATACGTACTCTAGTTAATCATTAAATATTTATATTAAAACATTCTATTCTATACCTTTTATATTATAATTTAGTTTATGACTTAATATCCAATTTTACTGGTAATCTAACTCATTTTTATATATTGAGACTCTTGGGGTTTTGGGGTTTTGGGGTTTTGGGG